AAAAAAGGATTATTTTCCTTCCACAGTTGTTTCTTTTAGGTATTGTACAAGATTTAGATGCAAAAGAAACAAATTTGATGCTTTATTGTTTATCTGCTGCCCGATTGTTGATAGCCCAAAATTGGAAGAGCCCAATTCTGCCTACGATGGGAGACTGGAGATTGAAAGTTTCGTATCTTGCTGAAATGGCAAAGATTTCGGCTTATTTGAAGAACCATTCGAACGAACAATTTTTATCAATATGGAGAAGATGGATTGTTTATATTCAAAAGAAACACAGAGTGGTAGAATATAATTTAGGTTTCTAGATTTTTTTAAGTTTGTTTACTCTTTCTATTCTTTCTTGTAGATTAAGATACTTTGTGGAGTTAGAGATATTAGTATTTGTTTACTTCTATATGAATATTATCCTGGGATTAGGTTTGGGAAGTCCGGGGGGTGGGGGGTGGGGTTTTTTTTGATTGGTTATTGTGTTTACTTATGATTGTTTTTTATGATGGAAAAAAATAAATAAAATTTCTTAAAAAAAAAAAAAAGAAAAAAAAGAAATAGGACTAGAAATAAAAGGTGAAACATACAAATTACAAACATTTGCAGATGATTTTGTATTTATTTTAGAAGAACCTTTGGAGATGATTCCTAAACTACTAGGAAAGATAGAGCAGTATGGAGAAATAGCAGGACTGAAAATAAATAGAGAAAAAACTAAAGTAATAGTAAAAAATCTTTCAGATAAACAAAAAAACCTAAATGTCAGAAAAAATAGAACTACAAATAGTTAAAAAGGTCAAATATACTTAACAGAAAGATGTTCAACTATAAAAGAAGATAACTACAAAACTATTGAATCAAATAAGAGTGGACTTGGAAAAATGGAAAAATTTGCAATTGTCAATATTAGGAAGAATTGCTACAGTGAAAATGAATATATTACCAAAATTTTTATCTTTATTCCAAACAATACCTATAAAACTTGAGAAAAAATTCTTTGAAGATTTAAACTCATTAATTTTGAAATTTATTTGGCAAGGAAAGAAAGCTAGAATTAAGATGAAAATGTTACAAGATGCAAAGAAAATTGAGGTTTTCGTTTACCAGAGTGGATTTTATTTTATCAAGCATCTGTATTAACATGGGTAAAAGAATGGATAATTTTTAGAAACAAAAGGTTGTTATATTTGGAGGGGCATGATTTACAATTGGGGTGGAACACTGTTTTATGGTATGGGAAAAATAAAATTAATAAATACTTCCAAAATCACTACATAAGAAATGCATTATTAACAACATGGGAAAAAATAAAATATAAAATATATCTGAAAATTCCAGGGTGGTTGCCAACAGTGGAAGCATTTGTACATCCAAATTTAGTTGACTTTGAAAAAATCCAGACATATAGAGATATTCTAAACTCTGAAGGGAATTTAAAATCTAAACAAGAAATGGAAAGTCAGTGTATCAATTTATCATGGTGGGCACATTTACAAATGCAAGATAGATATGATAAAGATGTTAAACTGTATGGATTTTATAAGGAACAAACTTTGTTTGATAAGATATTGTTAACTTCTGATGAGAAACTAATTAAGAAAATTTATATTTTTTTATTAACTTTGAAAATGGAAAGCGAACAAGTTAAAGAAACAATGAGAAGATGGGCAAAAAAATTTGGCTACAATATAGAATTAGAAAAATGGCAAAATTTGTGGGAAAGAAATTATAAACTGACAATGTCAACTTCCTACAAAGAAAATTTATATAAATGTTTTATAGATGGCACTTGCCACTAGCAAGACTAGCAAAAATGTTTAAAAACATGTCCGATAGATGTTGGAAATGCAAACACAAGTCAAGCACTTACTACTATGATTGGTGGACATGTGCCAAAGCAAAGAGTTATTGGAAAAAGATACATGCCTGGCTAGAAAAGATGATGGGAGAACACGTAGATTTTAAACCTGAACTTTTTTTATTAGGTATAATGCCAGAAGAGACTGCTAAACAAATCATATATTTGACTTTGCATGTCACAACAGTGGCAAGAATTATATTTGCGCAGTATTGGAAAAATGAAGGAATACCATCAGATGAACAAATAATTTAAAAAATATTAGAATGCATGGAGATGGATAGACTGACTCTGAGACTAAAAGAAAAAGAAGAAACGGAATATTATCAAATTTGGGACTTATTTTATTGATGGCTAGAGGAAAGAATAAAGGATTAGGAACAGCACGTTTGTTGAATAAATACTATTGAATGTATGGGAAAAAATTAATAAAAATCTTAAAAAAAAATAAAATAAAAGTTTAAAAAACATCCCAGAAGGTGACAAAAGTAGTAGTAACATATCAAATTTGTACTGTATGTTGTCCAGCTCTCAACATAAACATTTCCATATTTTTCTAATATGGAAAACTACATGGCTTAGTCTATCTCAGTGAAGTCAATTCTAGGGAACTTTTATGTTTTTTTCAGTCTCTTTCACATAGATCTCAGATACATTGGGCCAGGACCTTTATTCAGGAGTAAAAAAGCCTAATGATGTTAAAAGCAGGAGGGAATGTTGTCATTGTCACTTTGATTTCTTTTGGTAGATTGCCAGCCAACAAAGAGAAGCCAACCTTTCTCATTACTGCAGCCAAATGGCAGCTGTTCACCATATCTTGCCCTAGTTTCACCATATCTTGCCCTATCTTTCCCTATTTTATTCTTTGCTCCCAGGCTGTTTCCTGCTCTTAAGAATCCCTAAGAAGCCAAAATTTCTCTATGATTAAAGTCCCATTCTTTAAAATAGTATAGAACATTTTCAGCTTTTGGTCTCCTTAGATCAGAGGTCCCCAACCCTCGGTCTGTGGATTGGCACCGGGCTGCAGCATGCCAGAAACTGGGCCGCGCAAACAAGCAAAGCACCATCCATGGGATGCAGGTAGCACACAAAACCATGCCCCCTCCGGTCTGCGGAAAAACCTCTCCCCACAGAACCGGTCCCTGGTGCCTAAAAGGTTGGGGCCCTCTGCCTTAGATGCTTTCAAAACTAGTCCCTTTTGAAGTTTCAGCTGTGGCTGTTCCTCCCAGGGCACAATTCCTTTATGTCTTAACTCCAGAGAATAATGACAGCATCTCCTGCAGGGCTTCCCAAACCCAAGTGCATGGACAGACACTGGGCCGCGCCAGAAACCGGGCCACATAAACAAGTGAAACCCCGTCTGCGGGATGCAGGCAGCATGCAAAACCACACCCTCTCTAGACCTCGGAAAAATCTCTTCATGGAACTGGTCCCTGATGCCCAAAATGTTGGGGGTTGCTGCTCTACTGAGACCAGAGTGTCAAGAACCTAATTTTTACTATGTAAAGGATTTGACCATGACTCTTCTCCTTGTAATTATTTAATTGCCTTGATGTAGCTGTTTTTAGTACAAAGTGCTTCTTTCTGGCAATTGTAGATAGATAAATACATATTTCTGAGGGCTAAACTACTTTTTATAATAAATTTAATTTTATATAGGTAGTCCTTGAGTTACAACTGTTCATTTAGTGACCATTCAAAGTTACAACATTGAAAAAAGTAACTTATGACCACTTTTCACACTTCTGACCACTGCAGTAACCCCGTGGTCACGTGATCAAAATTCAGATGCTTGACAACTGACTCATTTATGACAGTTGTAATGTCCCAGGGTTATGTGATCACCTTTTGCAACTTTCTGACAAGCAAAGACAATGGGGAAGCCAGACTCACTTAACATCCATGTTACTAACTTAACAAGTGCAATGATTCACTTAACAACTGTGGCAAGAAAGGTTGTAAAATGGGGCAAAATTCACTTAACAAAATTTTGGGCTCAATTGTGGTTATAAGTTGAGGATTACCTATAATGGTTTTATTTTGAAAGGGGAAGTGGTTATATATAGAGCTGATTTTTCTATAAAACTATTTACTAGAAAAGTACTGTGTGCGTAGTGGGGAGATATCAATTGCGGATCCATGGCCCAGATTACAATTCACATTTGAATTGTATATTATTATTTTTCTATCCAAACACAAATAACCAGCTTTAGCACGCATTTTAAAAAACTGGGTTATCTGTCCATCTTCCTTCTGTCATAAATAAGTTGCTTCATTCAAACTGCCATTTTGCAATTGAAATAATTAAATTCAAAAGTTTTCAATAAGAGTATATCTACCTACTTTCTGTAATATAGGGTTATTTTTGTCTCCCTTACTATGTTAATTTTGAATTTAGTTGTCTACCTTTTACCTTTATATTCTCTCTCTTTCCCAATATAGCTTTCTGTTTAAGATGACAGTTACTTTTTAAGTTCTTAGAGTTTCCTTTATAGCTTGTCTCATGTTTTGTCAGGTCTGCTGTGGGATTTCTTTTTAAATTTCAAAATAAAAATTGAAGAAGACAAGTTTTAACAGTTTTACACTTTATTAAAATATTGCTACTATATTCAGATTTTGATAAGTGAGGTAGTAATAGTTCTTATAAATGCACATAGAGGACCATAAATGTTTGAGTTATGTAACCAATTTTTCCTGCTCTGTTGCAGCTACAACAAGAAAGCTGTATGAGAAGAAGCTACTGAAGCTGAAAGAACCGTCCCAAGAGCTAAGTTCATTCATAGCCACACCAACATTTTCTTCATCAACAGAAAACAATAAGCAAAATGGAAATGATGATTCTGATCAGTTCAGTGACAGTGAAGAAGGTATAATAAAATACATGATGACTAAATAGCTTTAAAAACTATAATATTTTTATTTTTTATCTTTTTGTATGCAATGAGAGTGAAAACATACTTGGCCTTAATACATGCAGTGAGATTAGGAGCAATAGATATAAATTCTACTACTTTATTTATGATGGACTACATTTAAGTAGCCATTCCTATCCACTGAAATAAATTAAAAGTAATCATTCTTATAGTCATTTTTAAAACTGCTTGTTTTGTGCCTTCAAGTCAGTAGGAGCAGCACTGTGCTCGCTAATTAATTTTTAAATGCAAATTGAATTACTGCATTAGTACAATCTTGTGTTTTCTTTAAAAATAAAACTTAGTAAAATGATTTACGGTAAATAAGATTGAAAATATTTAATATTCCCAGAAGTTGATCCAAAAACACCCCCACAAGGAATTCATGATGCCACTTTCTTGAATTTTCCATTCTGATGTATTCCATTCAGAACGCATCTTTTGTGAATTTAATATTTATTGCTACCAGTTTTCAGTGTATTTTCTAAATTGGAAAAATAATTGAACAGTCTTTAAAGATTCTAATAGCATTGATTTAATAGTGACATTTTTAGCTGCAAAAGAATAATACATTTATTTACAGATCCTAAAACAGAGTTCAGACTTGACAAGCAGGAACCACTGAAGAGTAAAACAAAAACTTCATTATCACTTAAACAAAGAAGAATTGCTGAAAATAACCAGGTATCACAATAATTTTCTTCAAAAGATTCTTTTAAAATGTATATTTCAAAATGACATTTTAAAACAACCTTATATTTCTGGTGTAGTTAATATTTACTGCAAAAATAAGCATACATCTGGTTCTTTAGCAAAAATGGTTGGCATATAAAGAACTTATGGCAGAGTGCGATATTGCTAGCTAGCATTTTGATGTGATAAAGGAGAGGATGGGGAAATTTGTAATAAGTTTTTGAACCCTACCTATTTCTTTCATGCTGATTTTCTGCTATATACAGTAGTCTGAGTCAATGTTTTTAAATAAATTTTCTTCCTAATTGTAATATAATAAACCTACAAGCACCAAAGTTTGTTCTAAATAAGGACAGTATTTGTGATCTAAACTAACTTAATTTTATTCAGTGCCACCTCATTTAATAAAATCTATCTAATGTGGACATGCTGTTAAGAGCAAGAAGGGCTGTTTTAACTGGAAAACAGTAATATAGCAGCAGTTTAATAAGATTGCAAAGAAGTTCATAATGCAATGCTGCTGCCAACCTGAATGCCAGGTAAAAAGATGAAGCAAATCAAGCCTTCTGAAATCTTTCATATAGATATGTTTATCTGAGGAAAACATCCGAGGAGATAAAAAATAACTTCAAAAGCTCCATTCGCCTCACCCTCCCTCTCCTTCATTATCTTAATGGGAGAAGGGGAGACGGGTGATTTAACTTCCACATTCTCCATTAATTTTGCTTATTGGAAGCCAATTCTGAAACACAAAATGCCAATCACTGCAGGATGCTATAGCAGTTGTAAAAGTGAGGATTGATCATAAAGTTGGAAGGGGTTTTTTATACCGTTGTAACCTCAAATGGTAATTAAAAAAAGTGAGGACTGCTGTAATTAAAAATTCAGTAGAAGAAGAAAATATACCTCATTTTTAAACGAGTTATACTTCTATGAATAGAAAATTTTATTTTCTAAATATTCAAAATTGAAAAATATAGTTCAAAACCAAATACGTGGCACTAATTTTTAAAATTTAAATTTAGCTTGTGTAAAATATAACACATAGATCAATCATAATCAGAAAACCTCTCAATATCTCTGCAGTTTTTTATTATTAAATCCAGACAAAAGAATATTTCTTGTTCACCTTAACATGAACGTAGACTTCAGATAGTAATTTTTGAAGTCTTTTGGTAGATGGCCACATTTAATCTATTAATTCAGGGTTTAATGTCTCATCTGTATAATAGCTATAATTTGATTGGCCATTGTGCTATGCCATAGAATCTGTTTCTGACTAGCAAATCTTATTAAGCTATCAGACAGATTTAATGCTTTCAAGGTTATTCCCTCCTTTTGTAATCTCTATATACACTGATATATAATTTCCATAGAATGAAAGCTGCAATCCCATTCAACTTTGCAGTAATTAGCAGTCAAATTTAAACTTCTAAGTCTAAGTAGAATATGGATAAGATGTTGAATATTTTAAATTTAGTAACAGATTTAAAATCTAGTATGGTTTGCTTCAGAGAGCCATTTAAAGAACTTATATTAGTAAGGCCATATATATTAGTGTCACAAAATCAGAATCCCTTTATCTGAAATTGAAAAATAAGTACCAGTGCAAGAAAAAGTATCAGCTAATGTATGTAATAAAAGAGAAAAAAAGAGCTCAGATATTTAGATGCCCTACATTTTAATAATCTAAAACGGGTGTCAAACTGCCGGCCCACGGGCCGGATGCATCATAACAAAACTGCGCCCACCCCATTGTGGCAATGGCAAAAAAGTCACGATACATCGCGACACGTAACGTGAGTTTGACATCCCTGATCTAAAATGTCTTTCACATCAAAGTACATACTTATTGTTAATGGTATGTCATTAATTTCTATCCTGTGTTCATTGTTTCTCTGTAATATCATGCTTTTCTACACAGAATGATACAGATCATGCACACTTTTCATGCAAAATGCTACCGTATTAGGTGGGATAATCTGATTTCAAGATAGAGCATTCATATGTTTTCTAATATGTTTGATGCTTAAATATCCAAGGATGGCATTACTGAGACATTCTGGAGAAGTGGATCTTCAAAAAGTGGACTTCTTCAGGCAGTGTCTAGGGAATCTGCGAGAGTATCAAGAAGAACACCAAGGAAAAGGGTGACGGAAGGCTACTTTTTAATTTAGACCTTAATTTTTGACATTCTCAGAGCCCTAGCAACAGCTATACACTTATTTTGTTATGTTTTTGTTTTTAAACAAACAGGTTGAAACTACAGTTCCATTTCCTGTACATGATCCAGTAATATCAGAGAATACTCCCATAGCTGTAGTGGCTTCAAGCAACGAGACTCTAGTAAATATATTGAATTTTCATTAGGTGGTATTCTTCATTTTCTTCTCATGGAAGAATTTTGAATAAACCTTTATTTCTTGGGAAAAAAAGCTTTTTAAATAAAACATTGGGCTGTTGTTCATCAGTCTAATGCAAACCAAGAGCAACTAAATGGCAGGAGGAACAATATTCAGTTACTGTGGATCTTCTGAAAGTTTTTTTCCCTGTGTGTCAAAATTTGTTTTTACGTATATGTTACGGGGTAATATAAATAGTAAAAGCAACTTCTCATTTATTTATTTTTTTAAAAAAAATCCCTATATTCCCATTTAGGATAGTTGGTATCTCATGTGTAAGCTGCTTGGCTTGGTTAAGATTTTTGTTGTAATTTCTTCTGTTAATTCTGAGTCTGAACAATTTGAATTTCAGCAGGTTGTCAATAGGGTACCTGGAAATACCAAGCATGCTGATCCTATACTGTCAATCAGTGACTTCTCAGAATTGCCAAGAAGAACACCAAAGAAACCATTGATGACAGCTGAAGTAAATGAATTAAATATAGATTGGTGGATAGAAAGGGGAGGAGGGTGAACTTATATTTAATTAAAACTATGGTAATAGATATATTTTAGGGCTTTTCTACCCTCAGATTCCTTCTCAGGACTTTTTTTTTTGGCATGTATTGGATATATACTGATTTGGAATATCTAAGCTTTAATAATCTGTTACCAGATCGAATACCTAGAATACCTAACAAAATCTAAAGTAATTCAGTTCTATTTTTTAAGGAAATATATCTCTGCCATGTGTGCTATTAAAATAATTGAATATACCAGTGCAAAACTATTGCATGCTGTGCTTAAAATTGTTCTTTCAGTAATTACATTTTTTCAGAGGGAGAATAAAAATGAAACTATTCATCATCCTTAACACCAGTATCTGATCCATTCAATTAGAAGTGGTGAAAATATCTTTCTTAGGTTTTTATTACATTAATCTTTATAAAATAGCATTATTCTGCATCTTGAAGGAACAAAGGATATTACTGAAGACATCTGGATTTATAATAAATTACTAGATAGATAAATGTAACCAAATTTTGATCAACAGCTAAACCCCATGAAGGAGTCTTCTTAAATTTTTATGGGTGTACTATTCGAAATGACACCGGAACATGGCTACACTCTGCTTCTCTCCCTTATTTTCTTTAGTACAGCTTCTAATGAAATTTGATAAGATTATCATTTTTCCATTTTCTAACTACAGGTCATTGAGAAAATGTCTACAGAGGTTACAAGATTAGAAAGAGATATTCTTAAAGAAATGTTTCCATATGAAGCATCAACACCTACAGGAATTAGGTACCTATAGCTATTTTTTGTTTTGTTTTGTTTCTTGGGATGCATGAATTTTCAGATTTTGACCTTTTTTGGACTAGACCTAGGACATTGGACTTGACAAGACAATATTTTGTATTACATAGTCTTATCAAGTCTTGAAAATAAGTGTTACACAATATTGTGCTAGTTTGCAAGTTTCCTGCTTTTGAGTGGCATCTTAAAAAGCTTGATTTTTCAATGTTCTGTATACAGACTCTCTTAAAATTTCTTTATATGGTTAAAAAAACAACTGAAGAAGCAAAATGAGTGTGGTATTTTCAGCTTCCAAAACCAAGGTTACCAAGATTCATTTTAAATATCAAAATGTTTATTTTATTTGGAAAATGTATATGGATGCCCTTCTTAAATACATAATTCTAGTCTACTAATAACTAGTTTACATAAATATATAAAGAACCCCTATAAAATAATCCAATAAAAAGGATAGCAAATTGTCAGATATGTATATTGGCCCCCCTTAACTCTAACCCGAAATCTGACTTTTAACTGCCCACTATAAATTAATACTGCAGAGCACAGGTGCACACATGTACAAAACATGCTATTAATGTTAATTTTAACATTAATGTTGATGTTGCAGAGGTGTCTCAAGATCTGGCTATGTCATCAGGGCTGGGCATCGCAGGAGACTGGTGAAATCCTAAAATGACCCTGCTATTGTGGTTAATGGTCATTTTTGTACTTTACTGTTTTTAATTTTTTTTAAAAAAATGATTGTTTTTAGATATTGTCGTACATTGCATAAAGTCACTTTTGTGAGATGGGTGGCCAAATAAATGTTTTATTTGGAGAACAAATAGAAGAGGACTATAAAGCTAAAATAAAGATAAAGTTTTTCATATTGGAATATTTTATTTGCAAAGAAGAAAATAAGAAAATAATATTCTACAACAGGATTATTGCCTTCCTGTTCATGATTGCCTGGTTTTCAAAAACATCTGGTTAGCAACTCTATGATATAGAATGTATTGGCTCTTTGACCAGGAAGGCTTTTCTTACAATACCTCTGAAATTCTTTATATGAAGGAGAAAATATGTTTTGTTTGAATATAAAACAGACTATATTTCATAAATTCTGCCAAAGCTAGAATAATTTTGATTGCTCCAAGTTTTGACTAGAACAGTGGTTCTCAACCTTTTTAATGCTGTGACCCCAAACGGTCGTAAGTCGAGGACTACCCAACCAGTCGTAAGTCGAGGACTTTCCCTGCCTGGGAGCGCCGCGCATACGTGGTTCCACCCCCTGTGCCGGCCAAGGCGTAGCTGGCAAGCGGCAGAGACGGAGCAGGCCGACCACCAGCTGGCCCAGCCCAAGGGAGGTAAGGCACCCGCCGGAAAAGGGGAAAAATGGCGGACAAAAAAAAATGGCGGACAAAAAAATGGCAGACAGCCTTGCTTGGCGACCCCCATGAAATGGTCGATTGACCCCAAATGGGGTCCCGACCCACAGGTTGAGAACCACTGGACTAGAACAAAATTGTAGGAGCTTTATAGAATAGGTACAGTAAGCCTGATGCACATCTCTTCTCCAGTGCCCTGCTCACTGATCTCCCTCGCACCTTTGTTTTCTTATCCTTTCAGTTACAAGTCTTAGTGTCGAGCACAGCAGATCTGATCAGCTAATTCCCCCAAGCTTCTCAAAAACTCCTTTATTATATCCCTTTAGCTAATGTCAGGATTTCCTGTTTTCTTCCTCTTTCCCACAACTCATATTTTGGTTTGTACCTGGGATGCCAAAAATCAGCTAATCTGAGCATAGAACATTTTGCATATCCCTAGTCATATTCTTATAACTGGCTTTTTCCTTTGAACAGTGCTGCTGCTGCTCTTTTTATCCATGCCCAATCAGCCAGCCTTGTTTCCTGTGTCTGAGACTACCTCTGTTAATTTGGAGTGACATAAATAGGAACATGTCAGTGCATACATATCCAATAAATAATTCCCTTTAGCCATGTTATGCAGAATGTAGAAAAGGAGTCAGAAGCAATAAAACAAAATTAAAAGCAGGAAATATGAAAAAATAACACATTTAAAATTAGTTCACACCAATTACTGTACCCTTCCATGCCTTTTTATTTTTTCTTGTTCTGTTTCATACATTGATGTTTATTTTTAAAATTCCTTATCTTCAGTGTTTCTTTAGCCGTACTCAACTGTCACTTCCATATAAAGAAATGGGCAAGCTAGTTCAAATGATATGTGGTAGTTTGTTTTAGATAATAAAAAACAAACGCTTTGGGGGTGATATAATTATATACATAATGAACTTTTTTTTCCTTCCCCAAGTCTACCTACACTCAGCTTAGCCTTTCTTTTTCTCAGCAACACCAATTATGATATACTTAACTCTATCAAATTTAGCAGGGAATTATCAAAACATACAAGTGTCCTTTTTTGAAGCTTTTAGAGCCAGCGTGCTACTAGCTTGGACTAACAAGAACTCTGTGCCTAATGAGATATCTGCTGGGAGAGTTTCCTCACAGTCCCCCACCCAAGAAGCCACTGTGGCCTAGCTTGACTTGCAAGTTGATATTACCTGACACCAGACCCCTTTTGGATAATTACTACTGTGATTTCTTTAGTAAGCACTATCACAAGGTCCCTTCGTTGGGCTTCAGCTGCCTGCCCCCCTTCCCCAATTTGCTGAGAATCAGCAATAAAATTGGAATGGCACAAGTAAATGTAGTTTAACCTTTAAATGACTTACACATGGCCCTTGAATTGCCTACCCCAATATAAAAAAAGACAACTCTGGTTATTGAGTATTTTTATTAACTTGTTTAATTGTAAGATGGGTGGCATATAAATTTAATGAATAACAATTTAAAACCAGATTTATATTTAAATTCTGCAAAAATACATGTTCTAATATTTAAGGTGTAACTTGTGGAATCTCCAACTAGTGTGGACGGAAGTATGAAAAGGGGACTTAGTCCTTGCATAACAGGAAGCAGTGCAAATCTTATCCCCCCGAGAATCCCTGAACCTTTATTAGACCATTCCCAAGAGAATATAATCCATATAGCAAGATTCTTATAAATACACATGCAATAATAAAGAAGTAATCTTAATCAGGTCATGGTGTTATTCTGGTTCCTTGTGGCTGACAAACTTGATTAATAGCAATTGTCCCATACCAAATTATCATATAATTGTCAATGAGATATTTTTGAGAAGATCACAAACACGGATAAATTAGTTTTATTCTTGGGATTCAAATTGATGGCAGAGCAACACTTAGCAGTTACACATTAACTCATCTATCTGATTCCAGAACTATGTGACTGCTGCAGGAAGCTCCTTTGCCATGCTATCTTGAAAAAAGATGCAGTAGTTTTAATGAGTCACTGACAGGTACTATACTCACATTGTTATGCATTTCAAAATACATCCAAGTATTGCATAGCCTTTCTACTTTACTATATTGAGTCCAAATTTTTCCCATACACATTAGAACTTTTGAAATATATGAGGTATTCTAGGACATTTTTATGTTAATCTTAAACATATTACTTAATTTATAGTGCAAGCTGCCGCAGACCAATCAAAGGCGCTGCTGGGCGACCTATAGAGTTCAGTGATTACCGGCTGGAAGAAACATATTCATCAAAATATATTCCTAAATATGTTGCCTCAGCAGAAATCCAAAAAGAAAAAACAACTAAAAAACACTCCATTCCTTTGTGGATAAAATTTTTGCTCTTTTTCATTATTGCAATCTTCTTGGCTTTCGTCTATCAATCCATGGAAATCAACCAAGGAAATCCATTCTCCAAATTCCTTACGGCTGAGAGTCCACGGAAAACAACAGATTGAATTTTTCTTTCTGTGGCACACACAACTGGGTCTCCCATTTTTAATTTTAAAGATATCTTCATCCTTCCTCATCTTGAAACTGAAAAAGGAATAAAATAGGACAGTAAATGGGCATCAACTTCTTTCAAAATCAGGAGATCACTGTGCCATAAATAGTATCTTTAGATTTCTTTGGAACTACTTGTAGGATTTATTTTTTTAATGTGGACTTCATTATGTTCATTTGAGATTGTATATTTGATTTTATAAACTTGGAAGCTCAAAATGGGCAGAAGTGATAGTAAAATGTGAAGATATGTGTTTAAATGTTTTTACTTCAGACTAAGATACTTTACTGAAATTTTGTTTACTGCATATGTTATTTGGGGTGGAAAGAAATTGATAAATGGAAATGCATTTGTAATGCATTTTGTGAAAACTGCAGCTAAATTTAGTGTAGTTTTAAGGGGCTTCAGCATTTTTCTGTAGAATACTGTAATCTCAATAAATGTAAACTTGTATACATTTGTGTTAGTTTTGATTGTAGTAATTATACTTAAGCTTATCCTTAATTTTTAATCATAGTTACCTATTTTAGTGCTTAACCCTATAATTCCTGATCTAATTGACTATTGTTGTTTTAGAACAATATTTATTAGTATAGTTTTTTGAAATAAAGCTTACATAAAATAAATTGGTTTACTTATTTTTACTTAACTAACTGTGAAATCATTTTTATCTGCAGACTAATTTCAAAAGAGTCGTGTTACCATAGCCTTACATTTTTAAATTTCATATTTTTCTATGGTATTTATTTAAAACACTGATATTCCAAAACCTATAATTCTTATGGTATATAAAAGCTATTTGTTACACACAAATAGTGTGATGAACAAAAGCTAAACATATTGCCCACCAATGCAGTTATTTTGGTCCACCATGACTTGTCCCAAATTGTTTTTTTTCAATGACATAACATTCATTTTTATTGTGGATTATTACATATCAAATGAATGTATCAATTTACAGCATATTCTATACAAAACTGCAATAAAGTTATTTTAAACCATAACTTTCACTCTCCTCTAACTTGGTGTTCATGCACTCAGAAGTTCTTTAATTTTTATATAGAAACTCTTGCCTTAAACTCTATTTAGCCTACATGTAAGCCTTAATTTTAAAGTCTCATTGATCAAATGTGTCTCTTGGTAAATTCATGGACAAAACCATGTAATATTCTTGGCAGCAATATAGAAATTGTTTGGCATTATCTTCTATCAGCAACCTACCACTGTGAAATTTCTTGGTTGTTTTCCATCCAGTCACAAGCCTACACCGGCCCTGCTTTGCTCTTTGAAATACAGGATTTCTAGAAAATGCCATCTACCTAGGTATTATGGATACCTAGCCAATATTAATTCCAGTAATATGAAAACTCCAGATACACAATATTACATCCATAGTGTAAGGTTTTCCACTTAGCCTCACAATTGTCCCAGCGTTACTCAGGAATTTTAAAGAGCCAAAAGAAATCCCTGAGCCAAGGTTTCAGCAAGCAAACAACTTTTATTTTGATCAAAACAGAGTTGGATGACCTTATTCCTCTTTGTGGCTGGTAGAGAAATGAAGGCAACAACCAGGAAAGATGTCTTCCACCTTTTATACCTTTCCAGAACAAAAAGATCAGGTCTTTGTACCAGGTGTAACATAGCACAAAAAAACAATTCCAAGATGATGACTCATACACAGCAACCCAGGCTCCATCTGTAACTCCTTTTCCCCCTCCCCTTACCGTGCTCTTTTCATGTAAGCAATCTCCTGTATATAGAGCATGAGACATTTGCTTTTATGTAAATAATTTCCCAATATAAGGCATCTACAAAGTTGCTTGCAAATGAACAAAGTTATATATAAAATGATTACAAAATATCACTACTAATATCAAGCTTGAGCACAATAAAATCCCTTCAATGATATACTATTTAATTTCCATATGACATTTGAAATCCAAGTTCTGCAAATATTTATCATACTAATATCTGAAAATTGTACTTTGTAATTGCTTTGTACCTGTCCAGTTTGTTTTTGCCACCTTTTATTTATCACCTGTTATGAATAGTACTTTTCTTGTTTTATTTGTGAACCACCCAGTCATTGGGAGTCAGATGGCACACAAATTTGATAAATATTTCAACATGCAATAAAGCTTTACTAAAGTATTTCTAGTTTTTAAAGTGATCATTGATGCTGAACCAATTAACATCTGAGGACTATGAGACAACTGGGAATATTAGCCTTTAATCTGCTAATGGATCTTCTTTGAGAGGTTCGCATTATAGGTATTAGTACTGATTTGTGTAGAACTGCAAAAAATGATTCTTGGTAAGGCTTAGGGTACTAAATTGATGGTTTGAACATTTTCGTTGTCCTATTGGTCCTTATTAGAATCTTCTATTATAATCTGGATATGTTCATTGGATTTTTTCCCATGTGTCTTAAGAGAACAAAACGTCACAATTCCAGGATTTTGAGTTGTACAGTATTGATTATTTTAGCTGTGCTTAGATGATGTACTCGAACATGATCCAGTATCATCATCATCATCATCATCTACTTGCTCTGATACACTATTCTTCTGAAAAGAATATAATCATTTGGGATCTTTATAGCTTTTCCAAAACTGAACTAACATAATTTTGTTTTGATTTAGTATTTGATTAGAAGGTTCCTGTTTCTTATCCTTAACATCTTCCAGTAATTGAACAGACTTGTAGGAATAATGTTTTCTTTCTCTACATTGCCAAAAAATGAAAACATTTGGGTTTCAGGTGGATTGTTCCATTTTGAGGTTTCAAAAATATATCAAATAGATCTATACAAGCTCATTGTTTTTCACTGCAGTCACACATCTGAAGCATCTGAGTAATTTTAGTTTTCAAAAATCATCTTTACATGCAGAGATGAGGATAGCATATTCAAGAGATTTCCCCTGCATAAAAAAATACAGAAATTACTGATTGATAGTATTCTTCCAAGTAATTGAATAATTTTCCCTTTTAAAATAAAAAAATTGAACATTTGCTTTAAAAATCTCAGTTTCCTCTGTGAATAATTAGAAAACTATGTAACTTTATTTTTTTTACTATCAATGTTATACTTTCTTAAGCAGAATTAAATACTCCACATGTCATATTTTTCCATCTTTAAGTATTGAATCTAATACATCTAAAATATTTCAAACTATTGCTAAGTCCCTAACCAAGAAACACTTGGTTATGTGAATTAGACCATATCAGATGACAACAACCTGAAATTAGATCCCTTACAAGAACAATCACAGATGTTAACTTCCTCTCCCACTGAGAGCCAGGCTTTTACTTAGTTATTACAATACATATAGGAAGAATAGATGTATAATTTGAACCTGAGATCCCAAATATCTAGACTGAGTCAATGGGGCTTATTTAGCATGAAATATTCCAGAATATTTATAAACTATTTGCTATGAAATCAAAACAATCAAACTTTTGAATTGTAAAGAAAGTGTGTTGACAGATACTGTAACTTCAACAGCTATGGAATTAGGCTAGATGTAATAACAAAAGAATGGCAGTAAATAGCCTATTTTTTTTCAAAAGGTGATAAGGCAATCATTGCTTTCAAGTCTTATAAAGTAATAAAGATAATTCAGTTATATTATTTCAGATAATTAGAACACTTCTTTGTTTAGCAGTGTTAATATTTTTCCTTGTAAAGATTTCAAGAATAAAATAAAGAGATGCTTACTTTCATATCTTCATGCAAGGTTGGACTGAACTGTAGGAACATGTATGGCTATCACATTTATGCATACCCTAGTTCCATTTTTCCAATATTGTGTGACAGATTTTAAATTTAGATAGCAATTCTCCCCTTCAACAGTATTAGTACTATTTAACACAAACTAGTTCTTCAACCAGCATTTATTGAAACCAATTTACTAAAATAGCTGGTACAAAATATTCTACTAAAAACCTTAAGAGAAGTTATACAAACCCATGTTGAACTAGCTAGAGTTATGTAAGCTGCTAAGAAGAGTCACACATATTTTTGAATATCTGTAAACTTCAAAGAGGACTAATGCTAAAGATGCAAAAAATTAGAACCCATCTGAGCCCCAAAGGTGGAAGAATGGAATTCTCAAAACTTAGATGACTGTTCCCTGCCTCCTGTGTGTTAAGAAGTAAAACAGGCTAGTCAATTTTAAACTGAAAGATAACTATTTATCAGGCAGTTCTTTGTCAAGCATAGCAAATGCTATAGCATCCCATTAAGCTGGATGTCATCTAGAACTGTCCAAGATAGGCATAGTACTGCAGTCTGAGCTACAAACATGGAATTCTGCATGACAATTATAGTCCACATAATAATTAAGGCTGTAGTCACTGAGATGATCTTTCAATACACCATTTTCAAAACATTGCCGGCTTCATAACAAATCTCTGCATGGTAGTTGGAATCATTATGGATATTACCATGATCTATCTCCACATACTTCCATCAATCAAGAGACTTTATATTCACATATACATATAGGAACATATGTACATTCTGCTATTCTCTTTCAAGGTAAGTAACATGAATAACACAAAAGTTGTGCAAATGAACTTAAGGGCAAGAAATACATCCAAACTGGGTTTACAGCAATGTAATTTATCATTCACTCTACCTGTCCATATCTTTCCACCTTCAAAATATGGTTCCTTAACAACTATGCACAAACTCATGCATTGCTTTTGTACTTTATAGTACACTTCTAAATTTCATCTAGTCGTGACTTTCTGCAATACTCTTCCTCTGAACCCATTTACCTTTCATTTCTATATTTATTTTGCAATTCAATCTTTACTTCTGTTCAACCAAACCACAATGTATTTCATTTATACAGTTGTTTCATCATTATGCTCAATATGCATTAAATCAACATTCATTTATTCTTGAGTCTATTTTACCATGGCATTCGATTTATTTCTATTGGGTGGATAATCTAAAGTCATATTCACATTCTAAGACATCTGGAAACTTAATAATTCAAGTCCTCCCCAAGCACCTAAGAATTATGGTTGGTTGCACAATCAGCCAGATGTTTAGACTGGATTTGCTATTTTTATCCACTTATCGAGTCCTCCCCAAAGATCTAAAAATGTGTTAAAGGTATTGTTGCAGGATATGTTATTCCAAATAAAGCTGTCTTGCAATTGACTGCTGGGGATTTTTGTGAATGCTGACGGGTGTTCAAGTGATGCTCCAGATGTTTTGGGATCGCACACCTATTACTATTGGTACTATCTTTGCTTTCTTCTGCAACAGTCATTCTATTTGCAGGTCTTTATATTTTGTGATTTTCTTCATTTCTTTCTCTTCTATGTTGCTATCTCTAGGTACTGACATATCCACTATCCAGACTATTTTGATTATTATTATATTACATTTATATGCTGCCCAGTTCCCAATGTCTCTTGACATATTTGTTATTTTGATTTAACAAAATAGACACTCATACACAGCCATTTTTCTTTCAACAATATTCTGTATAATACACCACATACTATCCTATCCTTCTGCAAGCATTTTGCATCTTAATATGCCCCAATTTTTCTTTGTTTTAAAAGCAAAGTTCACTGTTTGCAAAATTCACTGGCTTACTCTAGATTT